TTGTCGTTATTCCTTCGTATTCAACGGTTTAGTTATTCTGGGCAATTCTGAGCGACGGCGGAATAACTTTTTTGTCAATTATTCACTATGGAATAGCGGCGATAACTTTCCGGCAGAGGAATAAATATTTATTCCAATAGATTTTCCGAAGAGAGGAATTGACATTCGGAGTGTCAAAATATTATAAAATTTTTGAATAAATTGCTTAATTATTTTTGTGTTGTGGTTTTGTTAACAATTTTAATTGGCGATTTTGTGTGCTATGAACGAAAATAAAGAAAAAGACAAGAAAAAGTCGCGAGTTCCTCGAGCACGGAGATCTGCGAATTGGTCGGCGGAGGAGACGTTGCGCTTTGTGCGCGCACTTGTTGATGTCGGTCGCGATGGCATTTTAAATCAGGCGACAAACGGTTGCACGCCGGAGCAACGGGCCCAGGAGTATCGGAAAATCGCGAATATATTGAACGCCGAGCGCGCTTCTACGGTTGTTATTTTTTCATTATTTAAAATTTATTTTAAATGGTGTTAAATATTTTTTCTTTCAGGGAATTGTTCGCGAACCACTACATCTGCAGAATCGGTTCAAGCAAATAAAGCAGTATTTGCAGACATATTCGACATGGCAGCGGCAAGTTTCAATGGGAACTGGTGGCGGACTTGCGAAACCCATGCCAGTGTCTTTAACCGTTCCTCTCACTGGAGCCATGCTAGAATTGCTTGCGATTCTGCGTGATCGCTTCTGTGGCCTCCATTCCGAATTTGACAGCGATATGGTAATTTATGGAAGTTCGGCAAACAGCAAAGAGCACTCACTGCTGAATACGGAAGCATTGCCCGAAACACAAATGCCGGATGATACACATACCCCATTGTATGTTCAAAACAAAGATGTATTGGGTGTTCAAAACACGACGTTAGAGGAGGTCCAAATTGTGAATATCACGGAAGCATTGCCCGAAACACAAATGCCGGATGATACACATACCCCATTGTATGTTCAAAACAAAGATGTATTGGGTGTTCAAAACACGACGTTAGAGGAGGTCCAAATTGTGAATATCACAGGTACAAATATACATATGTTTGTAGGAGCATACATACGTACATGTACATATTATATTAATTGGATCGAGTAATTTCAGTAATTCGTTTCTTCTACAGCGAAGCCGTCATCGACCATATTGACTCCCAGCTGTAACTTCTCCAGTCCTTTAATCGTCTCCACCAGCTCGCCGTTGCCCAAAGAAGCATCGGCAGTTGAACCGCGACAATATTTTGCAACAGTTGCACAACAGCGGCAAGCACGGAAACGCAGATTCCGTGACCCAAATAATGCCGAAAATGAAATGCGCCAGCAGCTTATAAATCTTGAATTAACGCAGTCACGCGAACTCCACGCAACAAACATGCGCCATGCCATCGAGTTACATACTGCTAATATGGAAGCGGTTATGCTACAAAAAACTGCTCAGAAGCAAGTAATGCAATACTTCGCTAAGCGGGAACAAGAAGCGCAGGAGCGTCACAACCTATACTTAAGGACGCACAAACCGATGAATGCACAAGAATCTGAAAAAATCGTCCAGGAGGAGCTTGAAGTTTCGAGCTTTTATGACGACATAAAACATTCAGTATAGTTTCGCGCAACAGTGTGTTATTTATTTTTTTTATAAGTACAGGTTTTATTTAACTAGTTTTTCTTGTTTAATGTTTTTAAAACAAAAATATGTTATTCATTGCAAAAAATAAATGAATTAAATGAAATTATCCTCCCTTTTCTAATCAAGGCAGGTGATTGGTGTGTGTGTTCACTTGGCGATGAAACATATCGAGGAGTTCGTTGCGTACATTCCTGCCATAGTTATTATTTGGAGTATCTTCTGTAGCACCACTGTTGATCTCTATTTCGTTGCTCGTGAAGCCAGGTGGTGTGTTGGGTAATTGCTCATTCTTATCAATACAGATGTTGTGGAGTACTGCAGCGGTCGCAACAAGCATTTGAGCAGTCGATGTTTTGACACGCAAACCATAGGCCAATGCGGGAAAGCGTCGCTTCAGCACTCCATATGAGCGTTCCACGCAATTCCTGGTGACGATAATTGCCCGCTGATATTCTTGTACGTGTTGTAATCCAGCGCGAAGCTCAGAACTATTTTCTGCGAATGGTGTTGCCAGGAAGGGAGAATTGGCATAGCCGGAATCACCGACTAAAATGTAGTGGCGAAATTCGCCCGCTTCGAATTGCTGCCATAGTGCACTCGACCGAAATATAGTCGAGTCGTGTGCCGAACCCTGCCATCGTGTAACAATGTTCATGATTCTGAGATTAGCTGCTGCAACGGTTTGTACATTCAAAGAAAAATATATCTTCCTGTTTCGGAATATTTCCGCGTTTGGGCCTCCCGGTGACTGAATTTTTATGTGTGTACAGTCAATGGCTCCAATGACTCTTGGCAAATTTCCAAACATGTAGAAAAGGGCAGCCGCCGTTTTTAGTTCCTCCTGTGTCCGCGGCATTCTAACTATGTCAGGCAGTAGTCCGAGAACTGCTTTGCACACTTTTGGCAACAAGTTGCTAATCGTAGGTTGGGAAACTCCTATAATATCACCAACGATAGACTGCATGCTACCAGCAGCCAAGTAACGCAATGTGCATAGTAGCTGCACTTCGTGTGAGATATAGCGTTGTCTGTAAAGGACAAATAAAAAATATTAAATCAGTATACATATGAACTCAATACAGCTTTTGATACCTTTGATGTACCTCTGGCATGTAAGGCACAATCAAGTGTAGTACGTGTACAAATCTTGCCTTTGTCATACGGAATCGAGAAAAAAAGTC